AGGTTCCTGGGAAGCTCAGGTGCTATACTGGAGCAGAAATGAAGAGGAATCACTCATGAAATAACAAGCAAGAACAAAAAAGTATTGAAGCATGGATACTTCATATCCAGTACTTGTATACCACCCACTGCATTTGGCCATCCCTGTGGGTGACCAGCTTCTCCCTTTCTGTGACATGACTTGACCCTCAGTGTCCAGCCCTAGGAGAGAAGACAGAGCCTGCAGATGCTTTAGTGACCGGACTCACAGGCAGACAGACCGATACCAGGAATTTCAGTAACAGGTAATTATGTCTTTTGTCTCATGACATGAGTTAATCAAGATGTCCACCCTAAAATGATGACAGACAATAATAAAGAACAAGATGGGGTGTTAACGAAACAGTGTTTAATTAAGCCATCAGGGCGAGCCATGTCTTGGGAGATCCAGTTCAGCAACTTCTGAATCACACCAAGACGTGAAATCCAGGAGTGCAATAGTTCCCTCAGATCATTTTCTCTGTGCACAAAGGTTCAAAGTTCTAGACGGAGAAAAATCAAAGAGCATCCATGCAGACGTGAGGTGAGGATCACAGATCCTGAGCTTCAAATCCTGAGCTGAGGTTCTCTGTAGCGGTCTTTGCTTCTCAAAAACTTGATCCTTTTTTTTTTTTCAGACTGAAGCAATACAGCTTCAGGACCCTTAGAGATACCAAGAGACTCATCTCAATGATAGAGATAAAGCAGACGGCTACAGACCTCCATTCGGAGCTGCTGGAATAACTGCCGCATGCCTCCCAGGGCATCTTAGACTTCTGGAGACTTAATTACCTGATCAGCATTTGCAAGGCCACTGATGGCTGGCTGATAGAAGCACATCACCAACCCAAGCGGTGTGAAAGCTGGAGTGGCATTTTCTCTCTAGGAAGAAGGTCTCAGGCCAGTATTTTTCTCATTTGTGGTGTCACGTTCCCTGGAATTAGTGGTACAACTTCACTACCAACTGGGAGCTGAGCCAGGCTCCACCAGGCGAGAGCTGAGGAGCTGCTCAGCTCCTTGTTTGCTGTAAAGCCACCTTACTTGATGCACGTTGGTCCCGTAGTTCCCCAAATGTCTGAGTAAGGCAGGGTTCACTGCATATGGCATTTGCCTCTAAAAATAGTCTTTGTGCAATTCGCATGGAAGGGGAAAAGAATTACACCTGTGCCATGGGAAAAACATTCACTCCCTTTCCACGGGCTGACTTCAGAGCCGCTTCGATGATAATTACCATCATTTTTCTGCTGAGGTTGCTGACACGGAGGTGAAGTGACCTCCCTGAGCCTCTCCAGACCTGGATCCAAACCAGTGTTTAAGGTCAGTGTGGCCCCACCTTCAGACCTCCAGACAGGGTTCAGGTCCTCTCCCTTCCAGCTATGGAAAGTGATTTTCTTTAACCACTCAATGTTGCGAGCTGAGGCTGCAAATTTTACATCCAAACTGGCCACGATTTCCAGAAACCCTGTTGTTTGCTCAAATAAAAGCAATGTCTCAACACAGAGTGATGGCTATACAGCCCGCAACAGTCTTTGCCTCAACACTGCTCCCCAAGTGCTACGTGCCCAGTTTCTCCCAGCTGCTCTAATTGACGGACACAACAAAGGTTACCAAAGCTCTGACCTGCAGGTGCACATTCGCTTTTCTCAAATGCAATATTTGATCTCACGAAATGCTCTGTCTGCTTTCGAATCCAGCTGCTCGACAGGCCAACAAGTGCAATGATTACAAAACACTTTTTTAATGAGTCTGGGCTTATTCCCCCTATCTTCCTCCTTTGAAGGGCTATATCCCAGGAGCAAATCTCAGCAGAAGGGCTATTTTGATAACCGCAGAGCATGATGCTACCTAGAAAGCAGATAGGCAGGTTCTCCACTGCTGGAAAGTGTCCTAGTTGCTGCCTTCAGCAGAGCTACGACCGCAATTGGTACCAGTGGAGCAGCAGTCGCGGCAGGCGAGGTGAGATCTGAGTCAGGGTCAGGTCTTGGGCTGGGATATTCCCCTCGCTAGCAAAGGCTGGAGATCAAAACGAAGCAGCTTCCAGAGCCAGCCAGGCAGGGCCCTACCTGCAATGAGGTGAGAAAGGAAATTGCATGGAAGAAATCATGCTATAGGAGAAGATGCTGCTGTCTAAAATTCAGGTGTCCTGTCCTTCAGTTGCCAAATGATTATTAACAGAGGAAGTTACACCACAGCCAGAAACAGCTCCTTACACTTGCAGCCCAGGAATGGAAATCGGTGGCGTGTACCAACTCAGCCTGTTGTAACGATTGCATCTGGAGTGCGTGCCCTGATAAGAGCTCTGGTAAAATGGTGGAGACGGGACAAAGATAGTCACAAGACAACCAAATATGATGAAATTTACCTCTGTGTGGGATGTGTCATCTCCGCTGCTGAAAATAATCCTACCATCAGAAAGGAGGACTGTTTGAGTCGTATCCTGATAGCTCCCTAAGGTTTTGAGGATAATAATCAGTGATCTATTTTCACTCAAACTCTTTTACATGGAATAATGCTTAGAGAATAAACTGTATATGCCACAGGCTCCCTTTATTTCACATATAGATTGAAACATCTTTTCAAATGCCACTTACATGAGACCAGTGTCCCAATTCCATTTCGGTATGATAAATCTTGTATACTATTAAAAAATCTCTTTACTTTTCCACATGGAGATAAATTCAGTTCCCTCTTCTGTCACATTCGGATAGGTGGGAACTGCAGCTTCTGTACCATGGAAAACAGCATGGATTCAAAATTACCTCTTCTGAAATGAAAGAAGAATGAAATCTATGAAGATCTTCATGGGGAGAAAAATAAAACCATGCATCATGAGTTGATAGAATTACAGGAAAGTCAATTCAGAGAATTCCTTGATGAAAAGCAGGTAAGAGAAGTACAGATTAACTCCTCTGTCTTAAACCACAAATACATCCTAGGAAGTGGGAGCATTAGCTGATGTGAAATGACTCGTGCATGGGTTGAAGTGGACCCATGCTGGTTGACACCACACCAAGACCCCTGATCTCAGTGGGGTTTGCAATGAAGGTATTAACCTGAAGGGATGACCTTTATTCACACAGAAAGTTTTTTGTTAAAGCGGATTAGTCAGAAAGGGGATTAAAATGCATTCTGTACCAAAAGCCATCCCTTCACAATGCCTACGTGTAAAACAAGTCCGTGGAGGAAACGCACAACGGCAGTTGTGAAAGAATGAGCTCATTACCTAGGAGGACTCATTCCCAGAAGGCAGGGCTTTGAAACCATATAAAAGTTCTCAAATCTCCCTGCTCCACCATCCACTCCACTTCGTGCTTCTCCCTTGTTGGCTGGTTGGGTAAGTCGGAGAATACTGATCTGTTTTTGTGATGTCTATAATTTTATTGCTTGGCTTGATGTAGGCAGACTCTTTAAAGAAATGTTTTATTTGATACCTTTGAATATGCAAAAGATTCCTGCGAAGAAGACAAACTGTGGGCACTGGAGTAGGACAAGCAGTCTTGGAATGACTCTGTAAGGCAGTTCTGCTATTTATAACACAAATATTTTTAAAACTTCAATTTCATTAAAGAATTATTGTATAAAAGATAGATTTGTGAGTACGAGAGGCTGTACGGAGCAGAAGGGTGAAAGTATTCCTAGTACGCTAACCATGCTAACCATGTCAAGAGCAACAGGTTAATTTGGCTTAAGATCTTATCAGGTCCTTATACAGAAAATAGCAAGAAACAAATGATATTGATCTGGAGGACCTAGGAGGATGTGGAAGAAAGGAACGAATTTGCTCTGAAGGTGCGCTGAGAGGGATGGGCGACATGGGAAGGGAGAACGAACTTGCACATACTCTTAGTGAGAGTCCTGCATTGAAGGGACTTAAAAATGCCCCTTCCCACCAACACTCTGTGATTCTAAGATTTTCTTTGTGTCCTTAGATTGCCTTTAGAAAAACAGCAACACAGGATTTAGCAAAGACACAGCCCCAGTCCAGCTGAGCCTGGTGCCTGCCTTCAGCAGCCCACAAAAGAGAGGCAGTTTCATAAATCGTTAGGAAAATTCATTTGGCCTGTTCCACATTACTGGCCTTGGGAGAGGAAATCCCTCCTGATTATTCTGATTCATGCAAGCTACACGTACTATTAGTGGCCATGATAATCCAGAAATAGATGGATGCATTACCATTGCTAATTTTTTTCCGTGACAGTCGGAAGGACTGTGCCACAGGTAACCTGGGTCTGTTACATCATCAATGAAGTCAGAGTGAAACTAGAGCAAGAGGAGGAGTTGGCCTGTTGTTACTATAAAGACTATTAATACTACAGAAAGATGTCAGCTCACTGGTGAGGTCCACCTTGAGGCCTTTAGCACCTCAGGTTTCTAATTCCAAGTAAAATCTGAAAACCATTTTAAAAGGGGCAAAATCAAATGAAGTATTTCAGTTTCGCCAACGTAAAATACCCTGTTGGGCCCAGATTTACATTTTTCTACACCAAACGTTTTTAAATGTTTTTCTTCAGTATTCATGATTTTTAAATTATTATTTTGACTTTCTGAAACCGCTATCAACCCAGCAGATCTGTTATTTGCCAGCTCCTCTCATCCATTCCCCAGGACAGAAATGAAAGGGAGTTAACACATTGGGAAGAGCTAAGCAACAGGACGAAGAGCTCTGAAGTGTAAATCAGCTCCAAGTTCAAAAGAGCGGCTCTACCTCAGACCTGACAGGGCTGTCCCACATTGCATAACAGAACAAAAAAAAAGACAGAGGCAGTGCACAAGCTGAAAGGCTTGGAAAAAAAAAAGAAAGAACAAACCATAATTCTTTCTAAGCCAACCTGCCTTGGGAAACCAAGGGCAAACTGAGATAATTTTACTCTTGCAGCTGATTCATGTTTCTTATAATCGTTTCACCCTTATCCCAGTGCAGCTCATTTAGCAAACACAATAACGTTCTGACGTTTCTTTCAGACAATCTTGTTTACCGCAAAGATGTCTCTGAATCAAACGCAGATCAAGCAGGAAATCACCCTCCCACCTGGCCTGAGCAAAGCGACTTCAAAGCAAAGCCAAGATCCTGTGCCCAGCGCTGAGCCAGTCCCACAGCAGCAACCTGAAGTCCAAGACCCAGAACCAGTCCCAGTAGTACTGGTGCCATGTCCAGAGAAAACAGCACCATTGCCAGCACCAGTGGAGGAACCAGGCAAGGGAGAAACACCAGTGGTCGTGATACCTGAGTATCCTCCCCAGGAGCAGCAGCAGCAACAGCAAAGCAAGCTACCACCGACTTTCCCACCTGAATTACGCCCTGAAGAGAAAACGGCGTGCAAAGAGCTGCCTGTTTCCAGCTCTGAATCAACTCAGC